GAGATTTTTTTTGTTGTTGTTCCCTGAGATAAGCTTGTATCACTATAAACTTCCCTCTTAAAATTCTTTTTGCTGTGTCCCATAGGGTTTAGAATGTAATGTTTTTGCTTTCACTTGTCTCTAGGTATTTTTTTTATTTCCTCTTTGATTTCTTCAGTGATCCATTGGTTATTTAGTAGCATCTTGTTTAGCCTCCATGTGTTTATGTTTTTTGCAGGTTTTTTTCATGTAGTTGATTTCTAATCTCATAGTGCTGTGCTTGGAAAAGATGCTTGGTATGATTTCAGTTTTTCTTAAATTTACCGAGGCTTGCTTTGTGGCCCAACATGTGATCAATCCTGGAGAATGTTCCATGTGCACTTGAGAAGAAAGTGTATTCTGATGCTTTTGGATGGAATCTTCTATAAATATCAATTAAGTCCATCAAGTCTAATGTGTCATTTAAGGCCTGTATTTCCTTATTGACTTTCTGTCTGGATGATCTGTCCATTGATGAAAAGTCCCCCACCGTTACTGCTGATTTCCCCTTTTATGGCTGTTAGTATTTGCCTTATATATTGAGGTGCTCCTATGTTGGGTGCATATATATTTACAATTGTTATATCTTCTTCTTGGATTGATCCCTTGATCCCTGTGTAGTGTCCTTCTTTGTTTCTTGTAACAGCATTTATTTTAAACTCTATTTTGTCTTCTGTGAGTACTGCTACTCCAGCTTTCTTTTGATTTCCATTTGGGAATACCTTTTTTCCCTCCCCTCACTTTCAGTTTGCATGTGTCTCTAGGTCTGAGAAGTGGATCTCTTGTAGACAGCTCATATACAGATCCTGTTTTTGTATTCATTCAGCCAGTCTGTGTCTTTTGGTTGGGACATTTAATTCGTTTACATATGGTAGTTATCAACATGTATGTTGATACATAGGTCTTAGGTCTTTTTTCTTCCTTTCTTCTTTTGTTCTCTTGTGACTTGATGACTGTCTTTAGTGTTGTGTTTGGACTCCTTTATCTTTTCTGTGTGTGTATCTACTACAGATTTTTTCGTTTGCAGTTACCATGAGGTTTTGATATAGTAGTCTATATATATGTACATAATTGTTTTAAGTCGCTGATCTCTTAATTCCAAATGTTTTCAAATATCCTGCATTTGTACTCCCCTCATGATTACTGGCTTAGATATCATATTTGTGTGTAGATGATTTCCTACCTTTACTGTATGTTTGCCATTACCAGTGAGCTTTCCCATTTTGTAATTTTCTTGTTTCTAGTTGTGGCATTTTCCTTTCCACCTGGAGAAGTTCCTTTAGCATTTCTTGTAAAGCTGCTTTGGTGGTGCTAAATTCTTCTAGTGTTTGCTTGACTGTACAGCTTTGGATTCCTCTGTCAAATCTGAATGAGAGCCTTGCTGGGTAGAGTATTCTTGGTTGTAGGTTTTTCCCTTTCATCACATTAATTCTCTTGTGCCACTCCCTTCTGGCCTATAACGTTTCTGCTGAAAAATCAGCTGATAACCTTATGGGGATTCCTTTGTATGTTATTTGCTGCTTGTCTCTTGTCAATTTAATATTTTTTCTTTGTCTTTAATTTTTGTCAATTTGATTACTGTTTCTTGGCATGCCTGAGACTCTCTTCCTGGACTTGGGTGACTGTTTCCTTTCCCATGTTAGGGAAGTTTTCAGCTTTTATCGCTTCAAATATCTTCTCAGGCCCCTTCTCTCTCTCTTCTCCTTCTGGGACCCCTATAATGCAAATGTTGGTGCATTTGATGCTGTCCCAGAGGTCTCTTAAACTGTCCTCATTTCTTTTCATTATTTTTTCTTTATTCTTCTCTGTGGCAGTGATTTCCACCGCTGTGTCTTCCAGCTCAATTATCCATTCTTCTGTTTCATTTATTCTGCTATTGATTCCTTCTAGTGTTTTTCATTTCAGTTATTTCCACCGCTGTGTCTTCCAGCTCACTTATCCATTCTTCTGTTTCATTTATTCTGCTATTGATTCCTTCTAGTGTTTTTCATTTCAGTTATTGTATTCTTCAACTCTGTTTGGTTGCTCTTTACATTTTCTGACTCTTTATTAAAAACTTGTAACTTCTCTTGGGCTTCCCTGGTGGCGCAGTGGTTGGGAGTCCGCCTGCTGATGAAGGGGGCGCGGGTTCGTGCCCCGGTCCGGGAGGATCCCGCGTGCCGCGGAGCAGCTGGGCCTGTGGGCCGTGGCCGCTGAGCCTGCACGTCCGGGGCCTATGCTCCGTGCCAGGGGGAGGCCACAGCAGTGAGAGGCCCATGTACTGCAAAACAAACAAACAAACAAACTTGTAACTTCCCACTCTGTGCATCCATTCTTTTCCTGAGTTCTTGGCTCATCCTTGCAATCAGTATTCTGAATTCTTTCTCAGGTAGATTGCCTATCTCCATGTCACTTAGTTGTGCTTCTGGGGTTTTATGTTGTTCCTTCATCTGAAACATATTCCTCTGCCATCTCATTTTGTCTCAATCTCTATTTGTATGTTTATGTATGTGGAAGTTAGTTATGTTTCTTAACCTTGGAGAAGTGGCCCTCTGTAGGGGATGTCCTATGTGTCCCAGCAATACACTCCCTTCTTGTCACCCAAGGGCCAGGGGACCAGCTGGTCCCAGGGTAGGTTCTGATCTGCGTTTGCTGACTTGGTTCCGCACGCCGCTGGATCCTAGTTCTCTTGCTTCTAATGTCTGCCCCCTGGTGGGTGGGGCTGGCCTAGAGGCTTGTGCAGGCTTCCTGGTGGGAAGGGCTGATGCTTGCCCACTGGTGGTGGGTGGGGCTGGGTCTTGGCCCTCTGCTGGGCAGGGCCATGTCAAGGGGCATGTCTAGAGGTGGCTGTGGGATCAGGAAGTCTATTTATGCAGCCTGTCTACTGGCGGGTGGGGCTCTGTTCCCGCCATGTTGGTCATTTCACCTGAGGTGTCCCAGCACTGAAGCCTACAGGCGGTTGGGGTCAGGTCTTGGTGCCAAAGTGGCAGCCTCCAGGAGAGCTCACGCCAATGAATATTCCCCAGTACCTCTTCCACCAGTGCCCTTGTCCCCACAGTGAGCCACAGCTGCCCCCTGCCTCCCCAGGAGACCCTGCGAGACCAGCAGGTAGGTCTGACCCAGGCTCCTATGGAGTCACTGCTTTTGCCCTGGGTCTTGGTACACACACGAAATCATGTGAGCCCTCCAAGAATGGGTCTCGAATGGGTCTCTGTTTCCTCTGGTCCTGTGGATCTCCTGCACTCAAGCCCCACTGGCCTTCAAAGCCAAATGCTCTGGGAAGTCCTCCTCCCAGTGCCGGACCCCCAGGCTGGGGAGTCTGACATGGAGCTCAGAACTCTCACTCCTGTGGGAGAACTTCTGCGATATAATTGTTCTCCGGTTTGTGGGTCGCCCACCCAGGGGATATGGGATTTGATTATTTCGCAAGTGTGCCCCTTCTACTATCTCGCTGAGTTTCTTCTTTATGTCTTTGGATTAGAATATCTTTTTTGGTAGGTTCCAGTCTTTTTATCAATGGTTGTTCAGCAGTTAGTTGTGATTTTGGTGTGCTCATGTCAGGAGGTGAGCTCAAGGTCCTTCTATTCTGCCATCTTCATGATGTACATACTCTTAATTACTGATTGATAGATTTTTTTACAAACCAGTGCCGTATCGACAGGCTCAACAGAACCCCTTCACAGTAGCAGTAAGGAAGTCTAATTGTGCATCTATAACAGAACTTCCTTCAGCACCAACTGGGTAACCGCTGGGATTCTGAGTGATGCAGGATGCCTCAGCAACACTGGCAGGAGTCCTTGTCCAGCTTCTAGAAGCTGTCTGTGTTCCTTGAATCGTGGCTCCCTGCCTCTGTCTTCAAAGCCAGCCATGGCAAGATGAGTCCTTCTCACCTTGCCATCCTAGATATCTAGTCTTCTGACCCAGTTTGCTAGTATTTTGTTGAGAATTTCTGCATGTATATTCATCAAAGATATTGGCCTGTAATTTTCTTTTTTTATATTGTCTTTGTCTGGTTTTGGTATCAGGGTGATGGTGGCTTCATAGAATGACTTCGGGAGTGTTCCTTCTTCAATCTTTTGGAAGAGTTTGAGAAGGATCAGTATAAGTTCTTCTTTGTATGTTTGGTAGAATTGCCCAGTGAAGCCATCTGGTCCTGGACTTTTGTTTGCAGGGAGGCTTTTTTTTTTTCTTTTTCAATTACAGATTCTATTTCATTTCTAGCGATCAGTCTGTTCGAAATATCTATTTCTTCTTGATTCAGTTTTGGTGGTTGTATGTTTCTAGAAACTTGTCCATTTCTTCTAGGTTGTCCAATTTGTTGGTATATAATTGTTTGTATTTCTGTGGTATCAGTTGTTTGCTTGGTCTCTCTTAATTGGTTGTTGTTTGTTTGGTTGGTTTTTTTTTGGCCACATGGCATGTGTGTGGGATCCTTGTTCCCTGACCAGGGGTCGATCCCACACCCCCTGCATTGGAAGTGCATAGTCTTAACCAATGGACCACAAGGGAAGTCCCTGGTCTCTCTTAATTGTTAAAAGGAAAGTAACGTATAGTCTGTAAAATGATATCCATACAGTGATGACTGTACCGTGAAAAATAATGAGGTCTTATTCACTGAACATTTCTATGTGCCCAAATCTGTGCTAGGCCAGTAGTCTTCACACATCCTTACTAAATGTTGTCATCCCCCCTGTTGAGACAGACTTACTTAGAGAAACTATCATCTTGGTAGGGTCATTTGGGTCATAACAATAGTGCGATATGGAATTTAAACAGAAATGTCAGACCTCCATTTCCAGGATCTCAGTGAACTTGCTATTTGAGATCCCTACATATATGCATGGATTAGGATGCGAACCCAGAAAAAAAAAGAGCAATGGCTGCATTAGAGTAAAAGGGTTGTGGTTGTTTTGTTCTTTATTTAAGAAAAAATGAATTAATTACTGGTATAAAAATATATGTAATAAAAGTTGGGAGAAGAAAAAAACCTGCATTTAAAAAACCTACCTGGGTTTTATGACTGGATGGACCTTGAGACTTTTATTGCTGTGGGTGCTGGCTTTCATTTTTATTCCCAAACCTTTATGGTCTTCTGGTCCCTGTGAAAGTTAAGAGAAAGTTAGGGTGGCAAGAAATCCACCGACATGCCCTCTGGCCCTCACCAAGTTAGATAAAAGTACTGCCCTTTGTATCAGAGGAGTGGTAGCTTTCCCCAAGTGGCGTTCAGTTTGCTCTGAGCCATCGTAAATCCCGCCTCATCTCTTTTTTTATCTAGGGAGGGCTGTTCAGGCATGGTGCTGTCAGTAAGGTAGCCATCCATATGAAGGGTGAACCTGAAACTTGCCACCCACTTGTCTCATGCCCCCCTCCCACCAGCTGCCCAGGAGATGACGAAGCTAATCACATTCAGCCCTTTAACTTGTGCCCCTTTTATAAAGAACATTACTTTACAGCCTAGTAGGAAGCTACATGTTTGTCTCATTGGGAAAGCATGTCCTCACTCAACCCCCTGCCTCCTTGTTTCCCAAGAGTGACTTTTCTTCCTTTCTAACAGATATCTGCAAACGAAATCGAAATGCTTTTGATGAGGTTGCCGCGCATGTTTAAACAGGAATTCACAGGCGTGGGAGCAACGCTGGAAAAAAGGTGGAAGTTGTGTGCCTTTGAAGGAATTAAAACTACCTAACTGTGAAGAGCAGCAAAGTCTCTGGATATGAAACTGCCTGAACCCAGCCAGGGCTGTGCAGTGTGAGCCCAGGAGGTTTGGGGCTGGTCCAGCGCAGGACCTTTATGGAGCCATCAGAGCCTGACTTTAGTTACATCTGTGGCGTTCTCTTGTGAGTGGAAATGTAATTGTGTACCAGTTCCCTAAAACAAACAAAGCTTCATACTGTGACAGATCTGTTTGCTACGAAAACCAACGATTCCACAGTCATGATGGCAAAACCTTAAAATATGCTACGTTTGAGAATAGCTCACCAAGTAAAATATTTAAAGTTAATGATGGTGTGGCAATGGTTGTTGCTAGGCTACAGAGTTGTTGTATATGTAATCTATAGCTGAAATCATTCAATGACATTTTCCTGAAAGTCTTTCTGTTTTAGTAAAAAAAAAAAAAAAAAAGAGAGAGAGAGAAAAAAAGTAATTTTACAGTGAGGAAAATAAATCATACCAAAAGAAAACTTGAATATGTGTCTGAACAGTTACTGTATTTTGTAAATTAAGTTATATGCTGTTATAGGGACTTCTGCCTTATTGAAGAGGCAGAAGATGTGATTGTCCTCCTTGAGAATGCTTTACCAAGAATATTATTTTTCTAATGTAACAGTTCTCCATCATAAGTTCTTTTAACATGGACGGCATAACAATTTTCATAAAATGTAAATAAAAGAAAAACTAGTGCTACTGTCTTGTACTTGGTATAAAATTCAGGTTTCTGCATCAAAATAAACATTTAGTAAATATTCCTGTTACAAATTTTATAGCAAAGATATTAATTTTTTTCAATAAATATGACTTCTGCCATATTGGTTTTGCAACTTGTTCTTTGATATATTTTCATTCTTCCTTAAGAAATATTTTTCACATTATTCAGTCCCATCTCACAGACCATCATTTGTAAATGATTAAATAAATGCATGAGTGACATTGAGAAAAAATGTTATTTCAAACAGGAATATGTAAAAATCATAAAGTGGAAAGTACTAAGAAAAGGAGATTATACAGCATTAGAATAGATAGATAGATAGTATTTGAAAATACCAAGATGATATGACATCCAAATGTAATCAACATAAATTTTACCGTTGTTTTGTGTCCTCATGCATAGGAACAAAGTAGCCAATTAATATTAATTCCTGGATTTACTTATTTGTATGTTTTCTGGAATACATACAAGTTAGAAAAGGAATTAAAGAATTCACACTTGGACCAACAGTTTAGAGAGAATTTGGGCTTCCCTTCTTTAATTACAAGTAGACTAGGGCTTTAAATTGTATCTCCTTCCTGCTTCCTTACATAAAAATTATTAAAAATAGACAAGTATTCAAGATATTGATTAATTTTAAATGAAACATTTTTTAGGAAGACAGCTGAACAGTGAATGTTCTTTGAAATTCTGAAAAGACATTCATAATTCCCTATTGGACATTATTGTCCTCAGGCTCTTTTTATTGAGCCCTGATAAATTAAGGTTCTTATTCATGCCTCCCATAAATATCTACACATATGTTATGTTAAGGCTCAGTGCTAAACCCATGAATATGGAGCTGAGTAAGAAAGGACCCACCCCCCCTCCCACCCCCAGTGAGCTCATAGTTCAATGGGAAAAATACATTTTCCCAAAAGTGTCTATATGATGTGAGCCACGTAACAGGAAAGATGTGACAACGGAGCTATGGGATTCGAACTAAATATCAATGTCATATTAAATGTTGAAATACTAGAGGCCTTCCCATTACCACCTGTTACTGCCCACTACCACCATCATCCTGACACATGTGTCCAGAGCGAGCTAGCTCCTGCTTAAGTTACTACTGACTAAATTTTCTTCATTTTCCATTCAGTCCAGTGTTATCATGGTAAGCAAGAGAAATGAAGCATGCCAACTTTTATCCAAGCATTTTAGGAAATTGTGGCAGCTTTAGAAGGCTGTCTAGTTTTCTATTCCTTAGCCAAAGGAAAGGCAGAACAGGTTTTGGATACTAGAGAAAGTCATATGCTTGCACTATCGCCATTTTGGAAAGCTCTGATGTGAATTCAAACTATACACTCTGTGACGTAAAGCCAACAATTTTAAAGCAGGAGTTTTACTGGCCACTTGAACTCTTTGTACACAGTGTCAATTTGTTAAAAAAAAAAAAAAACAGAAAAAAAAAAAAAAAAATGAAAAAACATTTTAAGACTTCAAAAAAAAAAAAAGGAGACACAAATAAGGATATAACAGTCAGAAAGGAGACGACCTCACTTATAGATAACGTTACTATAAAATAGAAGACCTAAGAGGTTCACCTGAAAAATAATTAGAAAAAACGAATTCTGTGAAGTGGCAGTTATAAAGTAGGGACACAAGGGGAGGTACCACAATCTAGACTATATGCAACTTGCAAGTCTGGTAGGTGTTTTCAAATGTGCATTCATACTTTCAAGTATTGCCTGTAGTCACTTTAGCCGAAGGATACACTGCACAGGGTGAACCTAGCTTAGAGCTCTGACTAGGAAAAGGAGTTGGTGCGACCTTATTTTAGATCTGACAAAAAGACACCACTTTCTAACTTCTTCAATTGTGCAAATAACTTTTGCAGGAAAATAAAAAAACTTCTAAATTAGTTCACCCACATTCTGGTTTCAGATGGGACTTTAGAGATCACCTGGGGAAGGAACTAACTTTGGTACCTTTGAGGGCCGTCTACATATGTCTGTCACCCCATCCTCCCTAATCTTCGGGATAACCCTATACAAGGATAGTATTATTGTCCTCATTGGTCACACAAGGAGAATGAGGCTCAGAAGTTCTAACAATTTGGCCCAGTTCGCACAGTTAGAAAATTCTGAATATGGGATTTGAAACCAGGACCCAGTGACTCCAAAACATGTTCTTCTTTTCACTACATCACGCTTCTAGTTCAGTCTATCCCCACTCCTCCTGTGAGCCTGATGCCCACGCAGTACCTTCGGATCACCGCTTTTACTCTCCTTTATTCTCCACCATCCCCTGCACGTGCGTACAAGTGGGAAAACTCTGGCCTTTGTCTCCTAAATCTACCCAATAACAAATCATTGTTCTTGGATTCTGAGAAGTAAGCAGAGCATTGAAAGTTTGGAGATCTTGTAACCCGGCCCCAACGGGGCTTTCTGGCTTGCTTTTTCACTGCTCCCCTGAGTAGGGCTAACATTTTTTGCCTTTCTGCTTTTGCTCATATCTTTCTATCTGAAGGAAAAGACCTTACGCACATCTAGTTGTCAAAATTCTACACAGCCTTAAGAGGAAAACACAAAGACACCCTCTGCCGTGAAGCTTTTCTCCATTCCCCAGAAGTCATTTCTCCGGCCTCTGCACGGCCATCCCACATTGACTATTTCTTAAGGCATTTACTGCCCAGCTGTCTTTGCCTCATCTCCCCGTTAGACCGCAAGTTCTTTGAGGGATCCAAGCATGTCTCGTTTACTTTGAATTATTTCTCAAAGTGGTTTTACTTATAAATATTTAGAAAGCAGGACAGAGAAGGAACCAAGATGTTTTCCTGCCTCCAGAGACTAGTTTGCTTAGACACAAAAGGAAAAATTACAAAGTATCTGAAAAGGCTGCACATATTTTAGATCCAAGATTCCAAGGCAGACAATGTGATAAGGTACTACATAATATTGAAATACAAAAAGCAACCCAATTCCTTCTTAAAGTTCAAACCCAGGTCAATTAGTAACTCTTGTATGAAGCCCTGATCCCCTCAGGAATCTCCTCTCCTGTGTTCCTTCCCACTACTTCAATACAATTCTACTGCAGCCCTAGTGCTGTACGTTAACCATTTATGAATGCAGCTGTCTCTCCCACGCCCTGCAGGCTGGAGGCCTCCCTTACTCATCCCTCTAGTCCCTCAGACTGACACGACATACCATGACTTTTAAGTATTTACTGACTGAATGAACCCAATGCATGAAAGAAAAGCCCACACAGGAATTTTCTGAATTTGTTGAATCAGAACGTATTGAGATATTAGGTCCAGTAATAGAGGCTAGAACTTTCTTTCCCTCAGTTGTAAGACCTCGGCAGCATTCTTGCCTTTTTGAAAAAAAATTTTTTGTTTGGAAAAATATGTATAACATAATATTTATCTTTTATCCATTTGTCATTGTATAATTCAGTGGCATGAAGTACATTCACAATGGTACATAACCAGTCACCACTCTATTTATAACTTTTCCTCATCATCCCCAACAAATTTTACGGTACCCATTAAACAGTAACTCCCTATCCCCCCTCCTTCAACCCCTGGTAACCTCTCTTCTACTTTACGTCTCTTTGAATTTGCCTATTCTAGGTCTCTCATACGTGTGGAACCATACAGTATTTGTCCTTCTGTCTCACTTACTTCACTTAGCTAAATGTCTTCAAGGTTCATCCATGTTGTAGCATGTGTCAGAATTTCATTCCTTTCTGAGGCTGAATAATATTCCATTGTATGAGAACTCTTCCAGCTGGCTTAAGTATCCTTTTTCTGTTGGAGCAAGGAAAAGTCAGGTCTGTGCTTGAAAGGACTCAAATACTTTTAGTAAATACCACATCAAAAACAACATTTGAAAGTGTAGAGAAGTTTGTTTCCATCTTGATAAACCTCTCGTTTTCAATGAGGGTAATAAAAAAGAAATGACAAAAGTAGAAAATGTTGGCAGTAATTGTGTAGAAAACGAGACTTTTAAACATGCATGCGACAAATATGGTATGTGACAAGTAGTTTTTTCTTGGTAAGGGCTAGGGACGTTTTACTTGGACTTTTTTTTTTTTAAATCCCTTTTCTAAAAATGGGTGCTGTGTTTATTTGTTACATTCAATAAAAGATGTTTTATCCTGAAAACATAAGAACTATTTTACCATAATGCTCACAGTTTCTCCTCATAAACTGAGAAAATAAAGAGATGTTAGGCTCCTAAAATCTTATAGCTTGGCTCACTTTATATCAAAATGGTAAAAGGTTCACATGTATATTCAATCAGCCTGTCATTAGTATCTGAATAAACTATACTTTTATGTGTAGCACACCAAACATGAACATTTCAGAGTTAAGTTATAATGAATGTGTTTATGTATTAGATCACTAAAAATACTGTGTTTCTAGTTCCACCAACTCTAATTTCCCTCTTCTGCTTTCTAGTGGATTTTTTTTTTTAATTCCTGGGCTTCAAACATTTAGCAATTTCTCATACTATGTAGGAGAGCGTTCAGTCTGTGTCAGAGTTGAGTCCCAGCCCTAACCCTTACTGGCCTTGTGACTAAAGCTCGTTACTTAAAGCCAGTGAGGTGCTAGTCCCAGATTCATGATACGGTACTGTTAACACCTATGTCGGAGGATGGCTGTGATGATTAAATAAGAGAGCGTGCATAAAGCACACAGATCAGAGCCAGGGAGACTGAGGCATTGGCTTCTTCAGAAACAGTACTTTAGATATATCATCCCAAACAAAGCAGCCAAGTGCTTTCCCTGCTCTTAGCCAATTCCTGTCTTTAGGGATAAATAGTCAATATGTTTCTAAACATACGAATAAAATAAGACAAGTACAAGCATCATCCCCACAAACAGTCCATTAAATATGTTCAGTAGTCCATTAAATACGTTAAGACCAACATAAGCAGAATAGTTGCAACTCTCTAACCTGCAAAGACACTCAGAACTCTTATAGTCAAATGGGCAGTCACCATCACAGTGACCCTCAGCCAGGAGTAAATCTAGAGCCAGAATTCTTTGTTACAGCTCCCTTTTTACTTATTTCACATATTTCCAACAGACAGTAATCAGGGTCATATACATTCAACTGGGAAGAAACTATATGGCTCTGGGCAGCTGCCATTTTGAATGATGGTCAACTAGGTGTACAGTATGCGAGGATTAAGTGAAGTATTAATTATGTTTTCTTTAACCCAGAAGAAACACTGTCAGGAAAAATTACAGTTGTAGCTGGAACATGCAACAGTATTATTTTAGAGAACATACATGTCTATTACAGTTGCTGAGAGTATCAAAGTAAAAGACTCCAGTAAATCTAGTAATTACAGACTGGTTGTGTTAATAAAATAAGCTGTTCGGGTCCAAAATTTTAACTCCGTTTGCCTGCTCTCAGAACTGTACAGACACCCAGACAATAAAGCTCAGACGTTTCTAATGCACATTTCACCTCTTTTATAATGTACATGTATTGTACAGGGCTATGGAATGGAATGTTCTTACTTCACGGGAAAAACAGACTCAAATAGCAAACATTTTACAGCAGAAGATGGTACTTTTCTATACAAAGCAAAAAAGTGGTTAATGTACAATAGAAAGTGCATTGCATGTAATGAAATGCTTTTTTATTTGTCTAGCAAATATATTTACTGTGTGTTGAAAATTGTAATATCTTCCCCTGCACAAAGAAATTTCTATATAAAGCTCATTTGCTACTGTAGGGAGTAATACTCTTTTTCTTGTTTACTAAAGTAGTCTGTCTTAATATCAACCCCAACACTGTCAGGTTCACGTAAGAAGAGCTATGTGTAGATAAGAATAGGACTGAATCAGAAACCGGAATATTCCATTTCATATGCTTTTCATCTGAGCAAGTAACTATGTAACCCACGACATCTGGTAGCAATCTCTTTTTGGAAAGCATTCTTCTTTCCAAGAAGAATGGAAAAAGCTAAAAATTGGTCAAGTTGAGGCGCTCATCAATAAATAAATCTTTTGCCTTTGAATATGTTTATGCCTAAGTGAGGGTTGCTTTCTCTAGTATTTTTTGATACAGAATGTGAAATATGGGCTGGCAAGTCAAACACTGTCTTCAGGCAGAGGTAATGTATGAACACCACTGTGGGTGGCTTATTAAACAGGCATTAAGTGTTACATCAAATCAACATATCATGCATCATTTTTATGACAGTAAATCAAGTTTCAAACAGAAAGTGCTATGAATTCTTGGTGAGGATAATTGTCACTTCCTAAGGCTGGGCAGCAACTGGGAAGGGTTTTGCACCTCAGTATCTGTTCCTTGAGCCGGTAACGGTAACTTTGGTTCAATGTACGCCAAAGAAAAGGCTTTGTGGTGCTGGGCCTGGTATACAATCGAACTGTGGGTGGCAGAGGACAGCAAAGTCTAGACTCTGCCAACCTACAGTCCAGTATTTTATATATCGCTGCTTGATTCTACAGGCTGAGAAATGAAGCTTCCAACCTCTCGGCCATGGAAGGAGTAGATTGCCTGGTCGTACAGACAGTATAGTGAGGCATTCAAGAGCATTTTTCTGGAATCACTCCAAGTGAGTGATCACAGGAACGTGACTGAATCTCTGAAATGGGGATAATAGTAACAACCTGTCTCATAGGGTCTTTCTGTAATTTTATCCATTATCTGGGTCTTACTAAGTCATCTAAGTTCATAGACCTTAGCAGACGTTTTCTGTCAAACGTTTTCAGTCTCATGGCCTCACAGTTCACTGCCAGTTGGAAAGGATATCCCCTCAGAGGTCACCACTAACATATCAAGTGGATTCAGCTTCCTGATTTCTCCCTGGAATAACAAATGCTTTAACACAACGTAACCGGAAATCTCCCACAGTCCCAAGAGCCTGGCGGACTGTGTGGATCTAGAGCGAGGCCTCCAAAGAACTCCAGATTCCTGTGGCCTCACTGGGAGGTTTTAGGGACTCGTGAAAGCAGTGAAGAATCAGTAAAGCTCCGAACTCACGCCAGACCTCCTGGAAGACAGTCTTGGCAAAAACAAACCTGGTGTGTTTTTTCAAATATAAAATATTTCAAGGGAAACAGAACAACATCCCAATCTTGGGACTGAGAAAGAACTCGGTAGGTTGTCCCTGGTCCTCGATCTCCAGTAAGGAGGGGCCGTTTTGGTGGGAGAAAAGAAGGGATAAAATCTATCTTGTGCTTCTCCGCTTCATGTACTTTATGGAAAGGCAACATGGATGGTATACCTCATGTTTCTCCAGCATCCAGGTTTAAGGAGAAACATGGGAGGAGAAGGGGTGAGGAAATCCTCATTACTGCCGCTGGAAATTTCTCAAACCTGGAAGCACCCAACTCCTGCTTTGTTCTTATAACCCCCCTATGGACTCCTATTTCCTTCTTTTCCCATAAGGCTTATGCCCTGTAAGTACTCATCTCACTGTCTCATGATTTATCAGGTCACGTATAGTGGAATATTTTAATAAACTGGGAAGGAACACCCACCACTATGCATGTATACAGGCACGAATGCACATGTGCACAGACATGTATACGTTCACACACTAATAAAACTTCACGTACACACGTGTGTATATCATACACAATGCAAACGTACACAGATGTAGCCACATTTACACAGAAACAACTGTACTGACACTCAAATATCTCTGCTTTCAGTAATCATTTTTGCCCCTTCAGGCTCTTCCCTCTTCTCCTTCTATTTCTATCAGGTATTCACTCTTCCCAGGAGGATGGTTAACTTAGGACAAATAAGAGAAGGTGCCACTAACCACCGTAGATAATAAATATATGAAACGTACTCTGAAAAGATGACACTGGCAAAAAATGTAGGTGGGTTTGAAAACTTTCCAAAAAGTTTACGAAAGAGTCAGAAAAGGGAAGGAAACTGAGCTAGCTAACCCACGAGGACATCAATGAGCCCTGTTCCAGGGAGGCCCTGGAGCAAGGTTCTAACCCAGGAAGTCTTATATTTACAGCAACAATTCCTATAGCAGATGGAGATTATTAACAGCCCTATTTAATGGCTAATCTGTATCTACTCCTCTTTCCCTGTAATTCTGTAACCTCCTCCCACTCCATCTCTGGACTTGGTCATTTTGACCTGCTTTTGGCCAAAGAGATGTTAGCAGAAGCTTGACAAGCACCTGCAAATTTCTGCTTGCCCTCTTGCATGACTGGGTTTGTGCACTCTTGCACTCTGACATGGCTATAAGAACGTACCAGGCTAGCCTACGGGAGGATGAATAATATAAGTAATTGAGGCAAGTGGCCTGAGTCAAGGCCACCCTAGATCAGCTAACAGCCAGCTGATCTCACATCAAAGACAAGAAGTATAATTCAGCCTTAAGTGGGTTTTTTTTTAATTTATTATTTATTTTTGGCTGCATTGGGTCTTTGTTGCTGCGCACGGGCTTTCTCTAGTTGCGGTGAGCGGGGCTACTCTTCGTTGCGGTGTGTGGGCTTCTCATTGCGGTGGCTTCTCTCGTTTCAGAGCACGGGCTCTAGGCATGTGGGCTCAGCAGTTGTGGCTCACAGGTTCAGCATTTGTGGCGCACGGGCCGAGTTGCTCCGTGGCATGTGGGATCTTCCCAGACCAGGGATCGAACCCGCGTCCTCTGCGTCGGCAGGTGGATTCTTAACCACTGCGCTACCAGGGAAGTCCCCAGCCTTAATTATTGGTTGGCAGACTTGCGAGCTTAAGTAAATGGTTGTTTTAAGCCACTGAATTTTGGAGTGACTTGTTATGCAGCTTTATTTGTGGCAAGAGATAACTAACACAGAAATTGTGATTTAGAATTCGGGTGCTGTTATAACAAAAAAGTAAAACATGTGGCATTGGCTTTGAGACCAAGAAGTGGGCAGAGTCTGGGAAAGTAATGAGAAAACTGCTATAGAAGGATGGAAAAATAGCAACACTGATTATGTAGCAGCAGAAAAAAAAAAAAAACCGGTAAAATTGTCATTTGGTCATTCAAAAGACAGGAAATGTACCTATTGAACTTT